TGGCTGATGATATATATACATATATGACATAAATGGTGCTTATAACAGCAGTTAATCAAAAGCAAAAAACGTGAATGGAAGCAGAGATGGAGTGAGAAAGCAGGACATCTCACACACTGATAAGGACAATGGACATTAAATGGTTGGGCCAAGAGCTTCATCATTACAGTGTCTTGAAATGGAGTTCCATATTATAAAATTATGTGTCCCAAGATCTCCTGTAAATATACCACTCTAACTTGGACTAAAATTGAATCAAACTCTCTCGTTGAATAAAGTTGAAAACAGTTTTGATGAAGGAGTACCTTGGCTGATCATCCCAATTTTAGCAATGAAATTTGAGGCAACCAATGGCAGTTTTACAATATCAGTCTTTGATGGTCACTTCTTGCAGAAAGTACAGTACTATATAAAAACACTGCCCCCATGTAAAATTGTCCTTTGGCTGAATCTCAAAACAAACATTTACAGAAAGTTCCACTAGAAGCATCACAGAAAAGTGAAGCAAGAAGATTACAGACAGTACAGCACATGAAAGCAAAAGCAAATATCACATGGAAAAGCACTGATTCTCCTTTAAAGGTAACTGTGCATGTGATATTATGGTTCATAGTCTGAAAATGTTCATGCTGAACTTACAGAACTGAAAATAAAATAAGTTTGCATATAGCAATCAATGTAAATTATAGTCCCACTTATATGCTTGGATTTTTCCTTCTTTTTTTCTCCTTTGGGTCTCTGCATAACAAAAGACACTTGCAACTAATATTTTGCTCAACAATTATTTATTTTGCAGGAAAGTGAAACATATAAGGTTTCCCCCCCCCCCATGAATCATAATATTTTAGAAAAAATGCATGAATTTAAGGCATTCTGCCAAAATTTTTTATTCTGTGCAGAATTTCAGTTATGCAAGTCCACTTCTTCACACAAAAAAGTATTCCAATGTAAAGTTTTCGTTGTACGCGTCTTTTGTAAAACAGGGACCCATTGTGCAAAAAAAATCAGCAGCAAAGCAAGTGAAAAAAAATTTTAAAGGGACAAAAAGCTCACATGGAATGGCACTGGTCCTACTTTGGAAGCATGTGGGGTTCCAAATGGCACAGCACCACCATACTGAGCCCTGCTGATTGGCACAGCACCAATTGTAGGTGTTGGCACTGAAGTTGGCAGCATTGGTGCCTTTGGAGCTGCACGTGGTGAGAAGCTTGTGGCTGCTGCTGGTGTCACAGGTTTGGCAGGTGGTGGTGCCACTGGAGCTGGAGCAGGAGCCATTGGTCTGAATAAAAATACACAATTTTAATAAAATTCAAGAATACAAGAATGTTCAAGATTCCTAATGAGCGCATTCCAGAAATTGTTAGCATCTCTTCCAAAACTAAAGAACAGTATGTAAAAATCTTGTTACAGCTCTTGATAAAATCTGGAATTGAACTTTTGTTGCTGCATGACAATAAGTAATGCATTAAGCAATTATAATGAACCTCAAATAAACTGATTGCCACAAAAATGCATTATACTTAAAAATTTCACTGATTAATATATGAGTTTTGAACATTATTTTTTCCTACACATTCCTCATTCAAGACCCCTTTCAGTCCAATAAATTTCTTACAAAGGCCCATGCTTGAAATGCACTTGAATTATCTGCTTTATGGAACAAGATTGATTCAACATATAAAGCTTCACTTGTTTCTGAAACACAAATTTTTGAAACTGACCACTTTGAATATTGATAAAATTGAGGTCTGTTGATTGAATCTTCTTAAACTTGTTCAATTCATCTTCACTTCTATTTAGCTGATTTCAATTTCTGTGAGTTTATACTTTGAGTCATACCAGTATGTTAAACTTTGAAAGCTGTGACTTATAACTAAATTTTACCACACAATTGTGCACATGAGCAAATTAAAAGCAGAAAATAATTCAAAGCTTCACTTTCATTCAAGAAGATTCTAATTAAAGTCCACAATTTTGCAAAAGTCCAAGCGCTCTTTTCCTTTGAATTAAAAAAAAACCTTGAAACCAAAAACAGTTTCAGATCCCTTCCAAATTCCAAAACATGAATCGTCTAAAATTCTCAGAACTTTAAAAAAACTTGTGAATGGAAAAAAAAATTCTCAAGTAAAGAATGTCTAAAAGAACAAACACAATACAAAATTTGAAATATTTCTTTGGCTCTAATTTTGAGTATTTTAAATCAGGAAACTCAGAGCTTGAAAATATCTACACAATTTACGCATCCATCTGCACAACACAAAGGGTTCAAACAAAACAGTCGAACTTATTTTCAGGAATTGAACAGCCAGTTTCAAAATTCTTTAAATAAAAAAGGTATTGCCACAAAACATTTTTATAAACTCTTTGAAACCTGTCCAAATTGGTCAAGAGTGTTTCTTCACTAGTATCGCAGGAAAGGCGGCTGACTTTTGAGAGCATATATGTACAGTATTCCAAAAACTGTGGGGATTCTCAACATGCGTGTTTCAAATTTTTGACCAAAAACATGTTTTCAAAAAGAAAAAGAAAAAAAAAACTTACGAAGCAGACACAGCAAGAGCAGGGTCTGGGTCCACACCAGCCAATTTCGAAGCTACTTGCCTAGCATGAATATCGCAATACAGTTTCTCATTCACGCTATAGTAACCTGCAAAAAAAAACCATCTCTGATTTGGCTCTTCCCTTCAGTGCAAATTTGATGTGACTCAAACAAAAAAATTATTCCTCTCCATATTTGGTGACGTACCAACATTTTTCAAAGAACTGCCACACGTTGCACACTTGAAGCACTCCACATGAAGGTTCCTGCCTTTAACCCGCACAAAAACTCCCCTGCACAACCAAATAAATACTATCAGTTTTTGTCAATTTCTCAGCGAATCTCAGGTAAAAGGAATCAGTCATGATTATCTCCACACTTTCCAAAACAGCAGAAGCTTATCAATTTTCAAAACCTTACATTCCTCCAAATTTTCAAATGTTTTATAAAATGAAGTAACTGCAAAAATTTAAAATTAGTGATTTTTGGAGAGCTTATCCAATCCTAAATGCATCACCATTTTTTAATGACTGATTCCTTCTCCCAAGAATCATCAGAATTTGAATGCCAGTATTTTAGCAAACCAAAAATCTCAAGCACACTGTGAATTATGTCAATATGTACAAATATATAAAGAGTGCCTGTATAACTCTTGAAAAAAATGGGTCCCAGAAGGAAAGCATGCAAATGTACACACATAAAAAGAAGATTCTACATCAATAATGGCAAAGCCAGCAGACAAGATGCAGAAAAAGCAACACACACATACACACATAAGAATATCCTCCCAGACACAATCAAGGACACACAAAGTGTAACCATCATCAGTGGGACAAGAACCATGTTGACAAATTCACACAGAGCTCCAGAATGAACTCTGCCTATATTCTCCATACAGTGCTTCATCCGCATTTGTATTCATGTATATATCAGGGGTTCTTAACCCATCCAGTACTTCGGCACTTCATATATACTGGCCTATAAAAGTCTAGAATTTAAAAATTTCCATGTTTACTCAAGTACCATGTCCACCAATTTTCCAAAAAATTGAGAAGAAAAAAGGGGGTGAACTTCATAAGTAAGTATACATTGAAAAAAAAATATTTTCCAGCCCTTACTGTGTGCAGAATACTCCTTTCTAATGGGAAATTTAAATCCATTTTATCAGACACCCACTTTTATGGAAACCATTGGAAATTAGATGAATTCAAATTGAATTAATCAAAGTTGGGTGCTCTTATTTTCAAAATATTGCAGTTACATAGATTCACTAAAAATGAGGTGCACATCTTATACTTGCTGGGGATACAATTTAAACAAAATTTTGACTGAAAAACCTGGGTGAGCATCTTCCTCAAAGACATATGTGATACTTTAGTACCGTATTTTTTTGAGTACCACGCGCCCTTGAGTAAGGCGCACAGAGGGGTTTTTGCATTGGAAATTTTGCTAAAATCTTATCCCCGCGTAAGACACGCACCCCAATTTTTAGTGAATCTGAAACCACAAAATTTTGAAAATAAAAACAAAAAATTGACTTTAGGCATGAATTGAACAAAAATCTCATCAATTTTCAACTTTTTCAGTAGGAAAGCGTTTTCTTGTTACATTCGCTCAAAATATCTCCATTATAATCAATTATAATGCACACATAACTTCCTAAAACTTCTTGAAAATGTTATACCTGCTTATCACGTACACCCCTTTTTTTCTTCTGAAATTTGGGAAAAAAAAGGTGCGTGTGGTACTTGAGTAAATACGGTATATATGGCAATCCCAATTAAGCTCTGGTTAACTTTGTTAGGAACCCCTGCTTTGATTCTGACTTGTTCTCACTATACATCAGCAGAGATGAACAGTCTATGTAAACTGACACAATCAAACAGACACCCATAGATATATAATGTTGGCATCAATGTTGGGATGGGCCATTTGCATATGATGTTGTCTCTCTGTTGTAAGATGACAAATGATGGGCTCTTCAGCCATGAGGATATGGGACAAATATGCATTCATTTCTTTTCTTGCTTTTTGGTAGGGTAAACAGAGGACAATAAGTGCGAGTTCCCTTACACAATTGGTCCCTCGCACAAGTTGCAGGGGTCTTGCTGGCCCACATTGGCCTGATGCTGGCCCAAACTTCCCTGATGCGGGCTCACATTGGCCTGATGCTGGCCCATACTGGCGTGATGCTGGCCCACACTGGCTTGATGATGATCTATATTGGCCTGATGGTGGCCCACATTGGCCTGATTATGGGCCACATTGGCCTGATGATGGCCCACATTGGCCTGATGATGGCTCATTTGGGCCTGATGCTGGCTCATTTGGGCCTTTTGCTGGTCTATGTTGGCCTGATAATGATCTATACTGGCCTGATGATGGCCTACATTGGCCTGCTGCTGGCCCAAACAGGCCTGGTCACGCAGGATGATGGGTGCTCCATGGGGCAACATGGTGGATGAACTGATGGGAGCAGCCTGATGATGATGAGGCTGCATGTGAGCAGGATGCTCAATGTGACTTGGAAAGCGCTGAGACAACATTGGCAAATACTTGTAGCCTTAGCAATCCATGATGATGATGATGATGATACACCCATACCAAAAAATGGGGAAGAGGGCAAAAAAAAGACCAAACCAGAAAAAAGAGAAAAATACAAAAAAAGTAGTTGAGAAATCAGAGTAAGCAAAACAATAATAATACAGGATTAGCCTCCATATAAATATAGTTATTCAGCTCAGCAAAAAATAAGTTAGTGGATTTTGGAGCCCCATCAGCATATACATCCCTGGTGCCTGGGTCATTCTCTCCATGTATGCTTTTTTTCATGCATACTCACACAATCAGGCGCCCACAGTCAGAACAGTGTGACTGGTCAGGCGCAGCATCCACCTTTGATGATGATGATGTCAGTGCTGATGAAGGTAGTGGTGATGATGGCACTGGGTGGTGTGGTGGCACAACTGACCTGAGTCCAGCAGTGCCCAGTGGCAGGCCTGTGGCCATAATCACTTCTAGTCACACCCCAAGTTTCCACTAATCATAACAACTGTCTATAGGGTCAACAAGGTCAACAGGATCTGCAGCAACCATTTGGACAGCTAGAGAAATGGCATTTTCCTTGCTTCCAATTTCTTTTCAATTTTTTGAGAAATAAGAAGCAATTTAAAGCTCATTCCACAAAAAAAGATAAAAGAAGCTCCTGAGGGAAACAATTTCAAAAACTACACCAAGTTTAATAGGTGAGTTCCCAAAAAAATAACTCTATTCCAGGAGGCATTCTGTTATGCAAAAAATGTCTCTTTGGAATTGAATAAAAATATTTTCTTTTTTCTGGAAAAACAAAAATTTCCACTTGTCCCATAATATAATAAGTAACACAGCAAGTTAAAAAAGAAATTACTCAACTTTTCATCAACAAAGGGATCATATACATGAGCATACAAAAACTTCTAAAATTATGCAATTTGACAAAATGGAAAAAATGGCTTTTGCAAGCTTTTTGAACTACAATACCAGTTTTTTGCCATCTTTCACAATATTTGCCTCACCAGGGAAAAAAAGACAAAAGTTCTAAGGAATAACTTGCTGAAATTCAAAAATGTTTTAGCTCAATACTTTTGCAACATGAAAGAACTTCTCAGTGAAAGTCAGTTTCTGTCTTCAAAAATATTATAGTATTCCAATTGTTTTCTTATGCAAAGATTTTTTTAAGCAGGAACCCATATCATATATTTTTTGATCATTTAGTTCACATTTCTAACCATGGTTGAAAGTATTCCAATGGGTTGAAGGTAATAAATTTTTGCTCTTGACTTTTGAAAGGGCCTCTGAACAAATGATACTCACACATGTGTGGGGAAAAATCTATTATGGTCATGCTGGGGCTAAAATTATTGCAAAGACTACGAATCTAATTTCTAAAAAAAAAAAGGAAATAGTGGTACCTGCTGGATCCACAGTTCCTGGACTGCCTGGGTCTTGGTCCATCTGCTGCACCATCTTGAGGACCTCACTATTGTCTCCAGAGTATGGCTTCTCATTTTTCTTGAAATTCACACTAATTAAAATAAAATGCAACAGAACATTTCATCATCACAATTTTATAACAGCTCAATACATAATTATTCTTTAGGGTAATAAAGCTAGACTTTACCCAATTGAACATCTTTAATTCAAGTTTCCAGATTACCCCTGACCAATGCCCTGAATGCTAATGTAATTTCAACTTCTCCAGCTCACATTTGTTTTCTCAAAGCTACTCTATTAAAATTTGTAAGGCCATTTTTGTATGAATTATGGGCTATCTTTTAGAACACCCCTTCCAACAAAATGCAAAAATTGAAAGGTATACCCTCCTGAAAGGAATAATAGGCATCTTCCTACAGGTAAAGGCTTTGTACAGATTGAATGAATAATTCGGAAATTTAAATATGGTCAGAAAATAGTGCTCATTGATTACCCTACCCTAAATTAAACTTCCTTATTTTAAAAATTCCCAAGTCAAAAGTGGAGTCCCTTGAAATTTCACTTGCAGAAGTTCAACAGCTATGAATCACACCAAATGAAATTTTTAAAAGTCACACACAGGCCAAATTAAAGCAAAGCCTCTGTTTACATGTATAAAATACAGTATATACAATTACAATTGATGTAATTTTGTTTATTCAATATATTTGGGGGGGGGGCTATTTTTCATATGCTGTATTAAAAATTTAAAATACCACTCACCCAAGCACACCACCAGCAAGGACCTCAGCCTGGGCAGACAGTGTCTCAGCAATGTTCTCTTCACTGTAAAGTGCCACAGGACTGTTGTACTGGTTATTTACTATTGCCTTCATAGTTCCATTGACCTAGGTGAGAAATAAAGCATCACTTTTCCAGGCAAGACAACAACAACAACAACTTCTGTACTACAGGGTTAAAAATGAAAAAAATGTAATATGTGACATGATACAAGAAAAAGGGGAAATCAAAAAATTCTATAGGATAGTGTCTTCACCTGAATTGGTCGGATGGGAGTCTGATGAGAGAATGGTGTTGGTTGTGCATTGTGCATTTTGATTGGTACATGTGGGTATCCCTATATACACAGAAAAAATAGCCCACAGCAGTTTACTACAAGTGTGAAAACTATAAAAAAATTAATAACTGCACAGAAATAATAATAATTGAATGACATGAGCACCTGTTGGTCCTGATGGTGTTTAAGGGAGGTCTGAGTGACCATTTGGGGTTCTGCTGCAACTGGCTGAGGAACAGTTGGAGCATCACCCACTGGGGTCACCTTTGGCTGCCAAGTTCTAGACTTGCCCCTAGAAAAAAAATAATAAATGATTAAGCTGGAATTCCATTGCACTCCTAATTGGGTACAATTGAAGTTGCAATCAAAAAAAAAGAGTGGAGGGAGGGAAGGAGTTTAGTTATGATTCACTATTTCAGAAACCCCATATGTAATTAAAATCAAAACTCCTTTCCTATATTGCTGGGCTAAGTGTGTTTTTTCCTCAAGCAGTCAACTATGAAATACTTTTTCTTTCATACTGGTTTTCATCAGGTTTGAGTCTGCTTTGTGAGATTAAAATTCATTTCTGAAATTTGAATATTACTGACATTCAAACATTTCATCCATTTTACTTTGCTTTTAGTTCAAGATTATCATTGTCACGGGTTGAACAGATGTCGCCTGATGACGCGCTGACAGCTCCAAATATATAGCAATAAATGAAAAATTTTACATTATTGTATCTCAGTTGGATGAACCAAGATGAAACCATCTTTCAGCATTTGCCCAATTTGCTGAGTGTTCATTTCCTGGGGCTTCATTTTGGAGCTAACTTTGTTGGTAGATGGAAAGGAGCTCATTTTTATTTTGAAAACAAATGCATCAAGTCCATCAACCTTTTCTCTTCAAATATGCCTGGAGATTGTTTCTTGATGGCCTTTTGAAGCAAGACTTTTTGATGGCCTTTTGAAGTAAGACTTTACAAAGTCTTACTTAACACAAACAGTAAAATGATATGAGGAATTCTGAACTTGAGAAAAAAAACTTCATATAGCCATGTGTCATACCTTGAAAAAAAAGGGAGGATAATTTTTGTGAAGACAACTTTAGTGGCATTTTGAATACAGTATCCCAAGTCCAGTTGAATCCAAACTTTGAGATCAAAGTGCAGCAGAGGGAAATTGAATAATTTTCTAATCATAAAAATTTACTGAAATGCAAAGAGACAATCATGGGACAAAACTTATGATCCTCTATAAATTTAGGATGAAAAAAATTGACAAACCTTTGGACCAACAACTCCAAGTTGTTTCCTGTGTGAATGATGGCATCTTGCGCCTCCTTGTGGCGAAAATGAGCAGTATCTTGATTGTTCACCTTTAATACACCATCTCCAGCTTGTAAGCCAGCTTTTTCAGCAATACTGCCCCCATTAACCTGGCAACAGAGGAAATTAAGTCACATATTCATTAATTGTCTCCAATCATTAAACACATTTTTGTTCATCACTCTTACAAGTTCCTTTTAACATATACTGTAAATATATGCTTAAATATATGTTGAATATTATGTAATTCTCAAATACAATAAATTTGCAATTGAGAATTTTCTGGAAGTCCCTGAAGTTTAGACACCATGTTTTCTGAGTTTGAATCTTACAAATTTAACATCATCACGAATTTTTAAGCCCAAAGTATTTTTTCTGGAATGATATACTGTATCTACCACTTCAGTCCAGTATTTGTTTTTTTCCAGATGAGTCATCAAAATTTTCTCCAACTAAAAACTTCAGAAACAATCCAGTTATAATGCATAGGCTTCGCTAAATTTTAGAATAGATTTCATTTTTTTCGGCATTAGACCCAATGAAATCACGCAAAAATGCAGTGAATAATAATATTTCAGTCGGTGGAACGAAATATTCTTTAAATTTTATCAAATTAACCAGCAATTTGTAGATTTTATTTTT